ACATCTGATATTATATTCAGATTCACCACCCTGTAACTTTCCACTGTCTATGAGTAAGACATGAGATTGACACGTGAGCGGGCAACTTACCCAAGAGGGCGAGACCCATAGCTCAGCATTTCTGTAAGCACGCACTGCGATGCCCCTAAGCTTCAGTAGCTCACCTCAACTCATATCGAAAGGACGTGACCAAACGTTTATCATACATAAACGCCGTCCCTTTCTCATTCACTCCTAGACAGTGAGACTTACGGTTGATATACACTCAGGAATTATATATACAACCTTTTATAATAAAACAAAGGAACTACCGTTTGGGTTTCGTTACTTAAAACCCAAATATAAATATGTGTGAACGGACTGGTTAATTGGACAAGCAGCCGATTCAGCATCCGGGAATGATAGCGTTAGTTATTCAATTATTACGTCATTATAGAACCTGTAGTATAATCTGTATAACTGTAGAGGGAAGGATTATAAGTGTAGAGTGATTATATACTTATACATATATTATACATAGTTAAGAATATGTGTGTATAATTATGTATAGAATATTGGTGAAAACGGCAAAGGTAAGATTACATACATACATACATACATACATACATACATACATACATGCATACATAGATACATACATACATGCATACATACATACATACATACATGCATACATACATACATACATACCCCAAAAACAAACAAACAAACAACATGGCGTATTAGTCCTAAGATCACACACACACACACACACACACCTGTTAATTAGCTTACCTGTGGCCGCTGTAGTGTCTCCAACCCCTCCTTAGTGTACTTAAACCTCGATAAGTGAAGACTGTAGGAATATTTCTAAGTGTTTTGACGTGTTATTGTCCTCTTAAGTGTCACTATAACATCCTGAGGGAGGCGACGAAGGTATAAACTGACATAAACTGACTCGCGTTACGATTTACCTGTAGGGGGTGACGTGTTTGATGCGGTTTCCAGTTAGTAAATATTAGATCGGTTATAAACACATCTCTAGAAGCATCAGTAGCTCATAGAATCTAGTGAGGATTAATAACTTATTGATAAAATACAGTAGAATATAAAACTAATATTGATATTAACTAAATCATCTTGAAATATTGTTGTAGTTGTGAAAATTAGCAACTTGTTATCAGCCAGGTTAATCTTATCTGTTTTGCCTCTCAGATAACACCCAATAAAGCTTTCAAATTTACGTGTATTTTCCTTTTCAATTTATAATTATTTAAAAAAATCAACTACACTAAATTAAATTACCCCAAAACTACTTAAAATGTTGTTCTTTAATATTCAAAACGATAATTATTTGGTGTTTGTATGGCTGTCTGGGTTGGGAGGAGAAAGGAGAGAGTTGTGTGTTATTTATCTAAGTCTACCTAATATTACTATCATAGAAAACGGAAAGAGATAAAATATTGATTTTTTACCCCGATAATAATGACGATGAGAATAATAACAATAATAATAACAATAACAATAATAATAATAATAATAATAATAATAATAATAATAATAATAATAATAATAACCAGACGTACATTCGTTCTACAATGCATAATGAAAGTGATAATGACCCAGAGAGAGAGAGAGAGAGAGAATTATTATTATTATTATTATTTGCTTAACACGTAGGCGTTACACTTAGGCACACAAATTAAACCTGAATAAAATTAACCATTAGGGAACAATACCATGCAAAGTTCACATTAACCAAATGAACTTAACCATTAAAAAGCATTTGCCATGAGGGGGAAAAAAGTTAAAATACCCAGAAGTGAAATTTGCAATCAGAATTACATGTCTCGTTCCGAAGTTTCGAATCCTCGTACCCGTGTTATATGACCCCATGACCCCAATAACTGCACACTGACCCTTTAGAGAGAGAGAGAGAGAGAGAGAGAGAGAGAGAGAGAGAGAGATTCTGGCGTCTCATCTCCCATTACTACTACTACTACTACTACTACTACTACTACTACTACTTTTTTTTTTTTCATGGCCTCCAGCCTCCCCCAATAGCCACACCTTCGCCACCATTTATTTACCTTAATATTAAATATCCTAATACATAAGAAGCTATCCTATCTGTTAAATTAGTTGAGCCGCAGATCTATGCGGCATTCAGTGACTGTAGCCTCATAGTCAATATCTGCAGCAGTTGTCGGAGTAGGGGCAGAAGCTCTCGTTCCCCTGAGGCAGAGCAAAGCCGACCGAAGGAGAGAGAAGGACAGTCGACATCTCATCCAGGCTGTAACATAACTTCTGGGCTGCTGCTTCTGTTCTCAGTCCGCGAGTCGCGTAGCATCTTGCATCCCACCAGAGGTTGTGAACACTAGAGGAGTGAAGCTGCCTTGGTCAACATTTTGTATTCTCTCCCTGTATGCCCTTCTCTTGTCGTTCTCGTTCCTCCTATGCGCAGCATCGAGAGCTAGGTTACGGTGACAAACGGCCATGGGATCAAAAATCCTGATGTCGAAGAAAGCTCGCTGTCCCCGCGTCCAGAATCCTCGAGCACTGACGTCCACACAGGCTTCGTTAGAAGTGTTTGAAGTCCTATGTTGGAAATCTCGCCATCCAGTGGAAGGAGGGTCGGTTCTACCATGACGTCCCGGCAGATTTCCTTCAACATATTTGCTGTGAGATCCCTTACCTCGTCATGCCTCATGCATATGAAGCCCCCCTTCTTGCAGACCATGGCGTGATCGCCATCATAGGGAGAGCCACACACGCATTGGGAGGGCAAACCTTCTACTGGCCAACCGTACCTTAGAGCAATGGCATCTGTAAATTCTTGTTTGTTAAGGCTGAAACCATTTGCCCTTATTGGTAACGTAGTTAACCAGTTCGAGGCGCCCACCTCCTGCGCTATAGCAACTTTTTTTGTCAAATTTTCTGGAACCAGCAGCAATAGTTGCTGCAACATGTCATTTTGGCAGTGCTGCCGATCTGTTGTAATGGACCTACGGATCTTATTAACTTCGCTGGTGTCCACTTCCCCTGTTGCATTCTGGGCTATTATCTGGTCAGTGAGGGCTGCCGTGATCTTAAGTGAATTTTGATGTTCAGAGTCAGCAATCTCCTCTGGATTAGTTAGTCCCATCCCTCCCAGTCTTGGTGGAAGTGCAAGAAGTGTTCTTTCTGCTCGGCCAGTAGACGGTTTGCCCTCCCAATGCGTGTGTGGCTCTCCCTATGATGGCGATCACGCCATGGTCTGCAAGAAGGGGGGCTTCATATGCATGAGGCATGACGAGGTAAGGGATCTCACAGCAAATATGTTGAAGGAAATCTGCCGGGACGTCATGGTAGAACCGACCCTCCTTCCACTGGATGGCGAGATTTTCCAACATAGGACTTCAAACACTTCTAACGAAGCCTGTGTGGACGTCAGTGCTCGAGGATTCTGGACGCGGGGACAGCGAGCTTTCTTCGACATCAGGATTTTTGATCCCATGGCCGTTTGTCACCGTAACCTAGCTCTCGATGCTGCGCATAGGAGGAATGAGAACGACAAGAGAAGGGCATACGGGGAGAGAATACAAAATGTTGATCAAGGCAGCTTCACTCCTCTAGTGTTCACAACCTCGGGTGGGATGGGCCCAAGTGCAAGATGTTTCTACGCCAGACTCGCGGAGCTGATCTCCGAACAGAAGCAGCAGCCCAGAAGTTATGTTACAGCCTGGATGACATGTCGACTGTCCTTCTCTCTCCTTCGGTCAGCTTTGCTCTGCCTCAGGGGAACGAGAGCTTCCGCCCCTACTCCGACAACTGCTGCAGATATTGACTATGAGGCTACAGTCACTGAATGCGGCATAGATCTGCGGCTCAACTAATTTAACACAGATAGGATAGCTTCTTATGTATTAGAATATTTAATATTAAGGTAAATAAATGGTGGCGAAGGTGTGGCTATTGGGGGAGCCTGGAGGCCATAAAAAAAAAAAAAAGTAGTAGTAGTAGTAAAAAAAAGTAGTAGTAGTAGTAGTAGTAGTAGTAGTAATGGGAGATGAGACGCCAGAATCTCTCTCTCTCTCTCTCTCTCTCTCTCTCTCTCTCTCTCTCTAAAGGGTCAGTGTGCAGTTATTGGGGTCATGGGGTCATATAACACGGGTACGAGGATTCGAAACTTCGGAACGAGACATGTAATTCTGATTGCAAATTTCACTTCTGGGTATTTTAACTTTTTTCCCCCTCATGGCAAATGCTTTTTAATGGTTAAGTTCATTTGGTTAATGTGAACTTTGCATGGTATTGTTCCCTAATGGTTAATTTTATTCAGGTTTAATTTGTGTGCCTAAGTGTAACGCCTACGTGTTAAGCAAATAATAATAATAATAATAATTCTCTCTCTCTCTCTGGGTCATTATCACTTTCATTATGCATTGTAGAACGAATGTACGTCTGGTTATTATTATTATTATTATTATTATTATTATTATTGTTATTATTATTGTTATTATTCTCATCGTCATTATTATCGGGGTAAAAAATCAATATTTTATCTCTTTCCGTTTTCTATGATAGTAATATTAGGTAGACTTAGATAAATAACACACAACTCTCTCCTTTCTCCTCCCAACCCAGACAGCCATACAAACACCAAATAATTATCGTTTTGAATATTAAAGAACAACATTTTAAGTAGTTTTGGGGTAATTTAATTTAGTGTAGTTGATTTTTTTAAATAATTATAAATTGAAAAGGAGAATACACGTAAATTTGAAAGCTTTATTGGGTGTTATCTGAGAGGCAAAACAGATAAGATTAACCTGGCTGATAACAAGTTGCTAATTTTCACAACTACAACAATATTTCAAGATGATTTAGTTAATATCAATATTAGTTTTATATTCTACTGTATTTTATCAATAAGTTATTAATCCTCACTAGATTCTATGAGCTACTGATGCTTCTATAGATGTGTTTATAAGCGATCTAATATTTACTAACTGGAAACCGCATCAAACACGTCACCCCCTACAGGTAAATCGTAACGCGAGTCAGTTTATGTCAGTTTATACCTTCGTCGCCTCCCTCAGGATGTTATAGTGACACTTAAGAGGACAATAACACGTCAAAACACTTAGAAATATTCCTACAGTCTTCACTTATCGAGGTTTAAGTACACTAAGGAGGGGTTGGAGACACTACAGCGGCCACAGGTAAGCTAATTAACAGGTGTGTGTGTGTGTGTGTGTGTGTGTGATCTTAGGACTAATACGCCATGTTGTTTGTTTGTTTGTTGTTGGGGTATGTATGTATGTATGTATGTATGCATGTATGTATGTATGTATGTATGTATGTATGTATGTATGTATGTATGTATGTATGTAATCTTACCTTTGCCGTTTTCACCAATATTCTATACATAATTATACACATATATTCTTAACTATGTATAATGTATGTATATGTATATAATCACTCTACACTTATAATCCTTCCCTCTACAGTTATACAGATTATACTACAGGTTCTATAATGACGTAATAATTGAATAACTAACGCTATCATTCCCGGATGCTCCTGATATCACACTGGTTATATTACATAGTGAGAATATCCGGAATGTGGTTATCTTGTTCGGTTATGTTAGTTATGTAGACATACTGACATACATACATACATACATACATACATACATACATACATGCGTACATACATACATACATACATACATACATACATAAGAACATAAGAACATAAGAATGGAGGAAACTGCAGCGGGCCTATTGGCCCATACTGGGCAGTCCCGTTTACACCCAACCCCTATTGCTCATATAAGCATCCAACCTATGTTTGAAGCAATTCAGCTTATTCGAGTTAATGATGATATTTGGTAACTTGTTCCATTTATCCACTACTCTGTTTCCAAACCAGTGTTTACATATTTCACGCCTAAATCTAAATTTGTCTAATTTATAACCATTGTTACGAGTTCGCTCCTGGTTGGATAGTTTGAGTACCTTTGTAATGTCCCCTTTGTTTAGCCCTGCCTTCCACTTATACACCTCTATCAGGTCGCCCCTCGCTCTACGTCTCTCGAGGGAGTGCAAATTAAGATGCTTTAACCTGTCTCTATACTCAAGGTTCCTAATGCCCGGGATTAGTCTTGTCATTCTCCTCTGAATTCTTTCCAAGGATTCTATATCCATTCTGTAATACGGTGACCAGAACTGAACTGCGTAATCCAGGTGTGGTCTCACAAGAGCAAGATACAGTTTTAGGATGACCTCTCTAGTCTTGTAACTAACACTCCTTTGTATGAACCCAAGTACTTTATTAGCCTTGTTACGAGCAAAAACACATTGTTTACTTGGCTTAAGGTTCCTACTTATCATTACTCCTAAATCTCTCTCGCAGTCGGATTTCTCTATGGCATCGTTGTTCATCTGGTATCTGGTTTCCCTGTTTACATCTCCTATACTGAGTACTTTACATTTGTCCATGTTGAATTTCATCTGCCATTTTTCAGACCATTCGAAAAATTTGTTTAGATCTTCCTGTAGTTTTGCCGAGTCCTCGTCAGATTTGATAACACGTCCTATTTTAGTGTCATCAGCAAATTTACTTATGTTGCTGTCTATGCCGATATCTATGTCGTTTATGTATATAATAAATAATAATGGTCCAAGTACTGAGCCTTGGGGAACTCCACTTGTGACGTTGCTCCAATGGGACTTAGTGCCGTTTATGCTCACTCGCTGTTTCCTGTCCTGTAACCACGCCCTAATCCATTTAAGGATGTCACCTTTGATGCCCCAACAGATAAGGTCACAGAAAGACATACAGACATACAGACACAGGTATACATAGAAACACATACAGATACAGCCATAGATACAGACATAAATACAGACACAGACATAGATACAGTCAGACACACACAAACAGACATAGTTATAGACACAGACACAGCCATAGACACAGACACAGACATAGACACAGACACAGCCATAGACACAGACACAGCCATAGACACAGACACAGCCATAGACACAGACACAGCCATAGACACAGACATAGACACAGACATAGCCATAGACACAGCCATAGACACAGACATAGTTATAGACACAGACACAGCCATAGACACAGACACAGACATAGACACAGACACAGCCATAGACACAGACACAGCCATAGACACAGACATAGACACAGACACAGACATAGACACGACATAGTTATAGACACAGCCATAGACACAGACACAGCCATGACAGAGACATAGACAGACACAGACATAGACACAGACATAGTTATAGACACAGCCATAGACACAGGCACAGCCACAGACACAGCCAGACACAGACACAGCCATACGACACAGCCATAGACACAGACATAGACAGACATAGCACAGACACAGCCATAGACACAGACACAGCCATAGACACAGACATAGACACAGACATAGTTATAGACACAGACACAGCCATAGACACAGACATAGACACAGACACAGACATGACACAGACATAGTTATAGACACAGCCATAGACACAGACACAGCCATAGACACACAGCCATAGACACAGACAGCCATAGACACAGACAGCCATAGACACAGACATAGTTATAGACACAGACACAGCCATAGACACAGACACAGCCATAGACACAGACACAGCCATAGACACAGACACAGCCATAGACACAGACATAGCCATAGACACAGCCATAGACACAGACATAGTTATAGATACAGACACAGCCATAGACACAGACATAGACACAGACATAGACACAGACACAGACACAGACACAGACATAGATACAGACACAGACACTAACCCCCAATTAACGGACTATGTGTGAGATCATAGTACGTTATATCGAGGTTCGTAAGATAAAAACCTCTCTTTAACGGACTATATAGGAGAGTACAATCCCTTATATGGAGGCTTCACTGTATGCTATATTAAAACAATAACGGAATATTTGACTATAAGCTTAAACAACAGCACATTTAAAGGATCCGATTCCTTTTAATAGGCTTCAATAGCAAATAAGAGAATCGAATCCCTTATGTTCACACTCAATTCCATGTATAACTGTACTTGAATAACTATGGACTTTAAGTATAGAATTCTATGTATGTTTTCACTTACGGTTTATTTGTTGTTATTGTCGTTGTTATGTACGTTTTTCACTTAAGATTCACTGTATATATTTGTTGTTGTTGTCTGGTAAAGCTTAAATGACATTGTTATTAGTTCATGGTATTTATGGTTGTGATTTTATTTCAGGGTTTAACAAGCGGGAGGTGTTGTGAGGATGGAGGTGCGGGGTTGGTCAGAGGGGCAGGAGGAGGAGGAGGAGCAGTATGACGTAGGTTGGTGGAGAGGAGGAGGTGAACAAGGGAGGGACGTAGCTCCTCCACCTCACTATTTGGATGAGCCACTGAACAGAACTCTGCCTCCTCGTGATCAATGGGACTCACCAGATGATTCCCGCCTCCCACTAGTTGATTCAGACCTCCCACTAGCTGATCTTCGCCACTCACCTGCTGACCAGCGCCGCCCACCTCGCACTCCGTCCCCCAGGTCGAGGCGGCCAGGGAGGGACCGGTCACCACTACGTCATCACAGAGGTAACAGCCCCAGCCAATCACCACAGCGCCAGAAGAGACGCGATAATCGTGACCAATCACCTCGTCGACAAGACAATAGACGTAACAGCCCCAACCAATCACCACGACGCCAACGCAAAGGTAACAGCCCCAGCCAATCACCACAGCGCCAGAACAAACGTGATAATCGTGACCAAACACCTCGTCAGAATGATAAACAGGCGAGCCAGGAACTGTTACCGACACAGACTGCTACAGGTGTCGGGCAGCAGGTCAGTAGCAGGTCACCAGTGAAGCAGCACCGCCAGGGGTACACCCGGGGACAACAACACAAACCGGGGCAGTTACATCCCTCTGAGGCAGCCAAGCTGGAGGAGGAGAAGACCACTGCCCGCCTGGAGGTGTTCAGCATCATCCTACACATCATCGCTGCCGGGTCGGCCCTCACGGTGATTATACCCATGGCCATGGTCACTACGCGGTGGGAGACTTACCGTAAGATGTGTCCGCTATTCGTCGACACGCCCCCGACCCTCAGTAGCCATTGGGGATGGGGCAACCCGGACATGACTCCCTGTAACACGACGGCGTTCTTACCTATCATGGTGCTGGCGCTGTCGGTGACGCTGCTGTTGTTCCATCTTGGTCTACTTCACTCTTGGCGCACCAAAGGAGAACCACCATCGTTCGCCTTCACTCGCCTCTACACCCTCGTCGTCTTGGCCATCGTCACCCTCGAGACCGTGATCGCCTTAGCCGTTGCCATCACCCTGACGGAGGGGTTCAGACACACCTGTATCTCCTTCGACCTAAACCTCTCCTGGAACGAGTACATCCACACCTGTAACCAGAACTACGACGACCGAGACCAGGCCTACATGCTAGACAACCTCCGGACCTTCGAGAAAATCGTGACGGGGCTCGTTGGTTCGTGGCTGTGTGGCATCACGACCATACTTCTTACCATAGTCTATATGATAAGGTCGAAGATATGTTCATGTGAGCTTGTGTGTATATAACTAACCATGTGTTCTGTGTCGCTCCTGCAAGTCATCCATCTTGTTTATATCTCTCCATTAACCTGTCTTTCGTCTAATACTTGTAATAAAAAATAAAAGAAAATCCTGTGGGTATTATTTTTTTCCGTTTTTATTCAAGTTTTGGGTCAGATTTCAGTGTTTCATTAGCTCTTAGACCGGGTATTTAACTTAACCAGATCTATTTTAACTTAACTTAATCTAACCGAACCTAACCTAACCTAACCTAATATTGAAGTCCATTTTCTATTATAACTTAATAAAAACAAAATCATTATAAGGAGGACAATGACAAAAACTCTACGAATAAACAGATAATTTTTACTCAAACCACAACTTTCAAAATGGCGTCAAAACGTAGCTAAGACTCTCTTGTTAACAGATAATGTAAACTTTTATTCCCAGTTAAGAAACACGACAACATGGGGGTAATACATGATCCGTCAGGTCAGGAGAGGAGACAGTGGTGGTGGTTGTAGTGGTAGTGGTGGTGGTGGTTGTAGTGGTAGTGGTGGTGGTGGTGGTTGTAGTGGTGGTGGACTGGTGGTAGTTGTAGTGGTAGTGGTGGTGGCAGTTGTTGTAGTGGTGGTGGTGGTTGTTGTTGTAGTGGTGGTGGTTGTAGTGGTGACAGAGGTGGAGGTGGTGGTTGTAGTGGTGGTGGTGGTGGTTGTAGTGGTGGTGGTGGTTGTTGTTGTAGTGGTGGTGGTTGTAGTGGTGACAGGTGGTGGTTGTAGTGGTGGTGATGGTGGTGGTTGTAGTGGTGGTGGTGGTGGACTGGTGTAGTGGTGGTGGCAGTTGTTGTAGTGGTGGTGGTGGTTGTTGTTGTAGTGGTGGTGGTTGTAGTGGTGACAGAGGTGGAGGTGGTGGTGGCAGTTGTTGTAGTGGTGGTGGTGGTTGTTGTTGTGGTGGTGGTTGTTGTAGTGGTGGTGGTGGTTGTAGTGGTAGTGGTGGTGGTGGTGGTTGTAGTGGTGGTGGTGGTGGACTGGTGGTGGTGGTAGTGGTGGTGGCAGTTGTTGTAGTGGTGGTGGTGGTGGTTGTTGTTGTAGTGGTGGTGGTTGTAGTGGTGACAGAGGTGGAGGTGGTGGTGGTGGTGGTTGTAGTGGTGGTGGTGGTTGTTGTTGTAGTGGTGGTGGTTGTAGTGGTGACAGGTGGTGGTTGTAGTGGTGGTGATGGTGATAGTGGTGGTGGTGTTAGTAGTTCTATGGTTCGTCATCATCCTGTCTCGTGTTCACCTCTAGCCTGAAAATAAATATGTAGAAAAAATAAATAAATAATTGACAGACAGACAGATAAACAGACAGACAGACAGACAGGCAGACAGACAGACAGACAGAGATTTAATAGACCAAATAATTCACACCTTAATAGCTAAAAAGATAAATAGCTTGAAAGAGAATTAACTAGTATAAAATAGCATCAATAATAGACGTTAGAATTACTTTACAATAGGAACAAATTCTCTTACGATTTTTAATGTCAATATTAAATACTGAAGAAATACTGACCTGGTGCTCTGGTTGGTGGTGGTTAAGGCCGGTGAATTGTGGTAGTTGGGGTGGTTGGTGGTGGTTAAGGCAGGCTGATTGTGGTAGTTGGAGTGGTTGGTGGTAGTAAGATCCGACGTATAGCCGTAGTTGGGGTGGTTGGTGGTACTAAAAGCCGGCTGATTGTGGTAATTGGAGTGGTTGGTGGTTACACATGTGTCGTGGGTACAGGTAATTCGCCCATTAACACACATACACCAATTACACTCATCTAACAGGAGGTATACATGATCACACACCTGACCTTCCACCTCTGTCTCTGTTGGAGGGTGAAGCGTGTAATTAATACATACATACATACATACATACATACATACATATATACATACATACATACATACATACATAGATTCCATCTCTTACGTCTGGCTGGCTGTCTGTCCTCAGGCCTAAACTACTGTAGGAGCCAATCAGCCAATGACAGTCGTTTACAAGGCCACACCAACAATGCTTTTCAACCAATCAGGACACTGGTGCCGTGAACCTGTAGTTTGACGGACATAATTACCCGGACCACAGTCATCAGGGCTCAGTCTAGTGTGTGGTGACCTCAGTGTGTGGTGACCCCAGTGTGTGGTGTCCTCAGTGTGTGGTGTCCTCAGTGTGTGGTGTCCTCAGTGTGTGGTGTCCTCAGTGTGTGGTGACCTCAGTGACTCTCCTCTCATCACCAAACTATCTGTCGTGAGTACTGAGTGTTTGGTGACGTTTATTTGTGTTAACTCTCACACACACGCACATACACACACACACACGCACACACACACACACACACACATACACACACACACACACACACACACACACACACCTTACCTGCTCTACACCGGTCTGGGTCACACACAAACCGGCCCTGGGAACTACAGGTGCACTTCCGGCCACAGTGATTAAGATAAACGGACTCAGGTATACACACTACAACCTCCGTGTCTGGGGAGATAGAGAGATAGAGAGAGATAGAGAGATAGAGAGAGAGAGAGAGAGAGAGATAGAGAAACAATCAAGATACAATAATTCAAATAATACAACAGCGTTACAGAATACATCAATACAGGATAATACACCACAAAATACATTAACTTACCTGTACAGTTGATTAAATCCGTGCACACCTTACGTTCTCTCCTACAGCCACACCAATTACAACTTCCTTCCCTCCATAACTCAGGTCCAATACAGTCTCCTGGAATGAATACACCAATGTAATGTATATACCTTTTATGTATAACCTGTATACATAGTTATTAATATATCACTTGTTAAATGGGTAAAAATATTAAGTTATATTTAGGTTATTTATTTGTTATTGTTGTAAAAAGGAAGAAAATCACAAGAACTTACATTTATTTCAAGGTTATTTATTTGTTATTGTTGTAAAAAGGTAGAAAATCACAAGAACTTACGTTTATTTCAAGGTTATTTATTTGTTATTGTTTTAAAAAGGAAGAAAATCACAAGAACTTACGTTTATTTCAAGGTTATTTATTTGTTATTGTTTTAAAAAGGAAGAAAATCACAAGAACTTACTATTGAAATTTCCAGGACTCGGGGTAGGTGCACTAGAGAGGTCCCGTGATTTCCTGGATTCTGGAAATAGTGTGTTATTTATGTTTCCAGTTTGTTTACAGTCTTTGACATAAACAAATACTGTGGTAGTAGTGGTAGTGGTAGTAGTGGTAGTGGTAGTAGTGGTGAGAGGGATAATGATGGTGGTAGCAGTAGTAATAGTAGTGGTGAGAGGGATATTGATGGTGGTAATAGTGATGAGAGGGTTATTAATGGTGGTAGTAGTGGTGAGAGGGGTGTTGATGGTGGTAATAGTGATGAGAGGGATATTGATGGTGGTAGTAGTGGTGAGAGGGGTCTTGGTGGTGGTAGTAGTGGTGAGAGGGGTGTTGATGGTGGTAATAGTGATGAGAGGGATAGTGATGGTGGTAATAGTGGTGAGAGGGATAGTGATGGTGGTAATAGTGGTGAGAGGGATAGTGATGAGAGGGATATTAATGGTGGTAGTAGTGGTGAGAGGGGTCTTGATGGTGGTAATAGTGGTGAGAGGGATAGTGATGGTGGTAATAGTGGTGAGAGGGATATTGATGGTGGCAATAATGGTAAGAGGTATACTGACAGTAGTAATAGTAATAATAATCATAGTAATAGTCATCGTAATAGCTGTAGTAATAGTAGTCGTCATAGTTGTAATAATAGTAATACATTAAGTTTCCATTCACTTACCTACCGTCAAACTGATGTAATTTGAACATTTAAGACCCTCTTCTGTACACTTGCACCAGGCCTTCTCATGGGTGAAGAACGTTCCCATCTGACAAGGTTGTGCGTCGATAGGCAGATCTGTCGAGAGAACCTTATTATCTCTCTGTCTCTGTCTCTCTCTCTCTCTCTCTCTCTCTCTCTCTCTCTCTCTCTCTCTGTATGCATCTTTCTTCCAATATAAATTTGTCCATCTAACACTCACTAGAGTTACAGGCTACAGGTTAACACTCACCCATTACAGGTTAACACTTACTAGAGATACAGGCTACAGGTTAACACTCACCCATTACAGGTTAACACTTACTAGAGATACAGGCTACAGGTTAACACTTACTAGAGATACAGGTTGCAGGCTGACACTCCCTAATCCCACTCTTTGGGCAAGCGCAGCGTTGGTAACACTTGTTGAAGAAAATAGAACCCGGTATACAATCCACGATCTTATTATCTGTTAAGTTAGAGGCGAAAATCACTTAACCATTACGAGAGTTTGGATTTAGTTACGCGCTTAAGAATACAACTTGGATTCTATTATTACTTAAAGCTTGGATTGACTTAAATATTCAAAATATCATTCAAATATTGTAAGTTAAAGTCAAATGTTGGACTTAATGGAACTTTGAGTACAGTTTGGACTTACCCTCACAGTCCAACTCGGTACAGGTGAGAAAGCCGTTCCTACAGCCGCACCAGTTACAGTCATCGTTACGGTCCCAGGTAACACCATTAAAGTAACAGGCTAACAGTTACAGAAAAACAGTCAGCACAGATTTTAGGAAATACATTAAAACAGATTAATCGGGTTTAAGGATATGTTGATGAATGTTAATTGGGTATATCGGTACAGATTTTAAGTATAAATAGAAGAAATTAATCGGATAAATCAGTCCAGATTTTAGGTATAAATTAAAAGAAAAAGATTAATCGATTTTAACAGTACAGATTTTAGATATAAAATACAGGTTATGTAATAGCTTAGAGTTTGGCAAGTTTACTAAATAATCGGCCAAAACAATGTCAGATTTAAACTCGAAATCTGGGCAATAATAAATCTGACTCACCTACAGCCGTGGGCGTGGTTGTTGGTGATGTTGCAGATGGTGGTTGTGGTGGTGATGTTGTTGGTGGTGGTGGTGATGATTGTGGTTGTGTTGGTGATTGTTTTGTTGGTGATGGTGTTGTTGGTGATGGCTGTGTAGGTGGTGGTGATGATGATTGTGTTGGTGGTGGTGGTGATGATTGTGGTTGTGTTGGTGATTGTTTTGTTGGTGATGGTGTTGGTAATGGTTGTGTAGGTGGTGGTGATGATGATTGTGTTGGTGGTGGTGGTGATGATTGTGGTTGTGTTGGTGATTGTTTTGTTGGTGATGGTGTTGTTGGTGATGGTGTTGGTGATGGCTGTGTAGGTGGTGGTGGTGGTGATGATTGTGTTGGTGATGGTGGTGATGATTGTGGTTGTGTTGGTGATGGTTTTGTTGGTGGTGGTGGTGATGATTGTGTTGCTGTTTGATGGTTGTGTAGGTGGTGGTGGTGATGATTGTGTTGGTGATAGTGGTGGTGATGTTTGTGTAGGTGGTGGTGGTGGTGATGATTGTGTTGGTGATGGTTGTGTAGGTGGTGGTGGTGATGATTGTGTTGGTGATGGTGGTGGTCGTGATGATTGTATTGGTGGTGGTGATGATTGTGATGGTGGTGATGATTGTGTTGGTGATGGTGTTGTTGGTGATGATTGTATTGGTGGTGGTGGTGATGATTGTGGTGTTGGTGGTGGTGGTGATGATTGTGGTGGTGGTGGTGGTGATGATTGTGGTTGTAATGGTGGTGGTGGCGATGGTTGTGTAGGTGATGGTGGTGATGATTGTGGTTGTGTTGGTGTAGTTGGTGATGATTGTGTTGATGATAGTGATGGTGGTGGTGGTGATGGTGATGATGGTGATGATGGTGGTGATGGTGATGGTGGTGGTGATGGTGTTGTTGGTGTGATACACACTTTCTGGGTACACACTACAATACCAGTATTACAGTAGCACCAGTTACAGGAATCTTTCATGAAATTTGCATCTTCCATACATTTCTGACCCTCCACCTGTGTGTCTGAAATATGTACAATAATATAATAATAATAATAATAATAATAATAATAATAATAATAATAATAATAATAATAATAATAATAATGATAATAATAATCACATTATATATTTAAGAAACAACAGGACAAATACAGATTACAGTGAGTTACAGGGATACATAAAAGAATAATAAGAGTTACAGTGATTTATACCACAGTGTACAATGAGTTACAGTGAGTTACAGTGGGTTACCTTGCTTGTATGTGTTACAGATTACTCTCCCCCTTACACAAAAGCACCACTTACAGTAATCCTTAATGAAATAGGTCCAGCTATAACACATTTGCCCACTAATATTGAAATCTGAATGGGGGTAGAAATAGGGGAGAGAAAAATAGATAAAACTAATAGGAAATTAATAGGGGGAAGAGTTAATGGGGAAAATTAATAGGTAGAAGAAATGGGAAATAGGGTAAGTTAACGTTCAAACAATCACACACTTGCGATCTGAAGGGTAGGTTAGGGTACGGGAGGGTAGGTTAGGGTAGGGCAGAGCAGGGCAGGATAAAATTGGGCAGGTCAAGACAGGGTAGGGTACGTCAGGGCAGGGTAGGTTTAGGGTACGGAAGGGTAGGTTAGGGTAAGGGAGTGCAGGGCAAGGTAGGTTAGGTGCAGGGCAGGACAATCTCACGTCATTGGAATTTAAAAAAAAAAGTAAAATAATATAAAATTCGAATCAAACTTACCTACAGAAGTTGCATTCTCTTGTGATTGTGGTGGTCTTGGTGATTGTAGTGTTCCTGGTTCTAGTGGTTGTGGTGGTTGTGGTGGGTCTAGTGGTTCTAGTGGTTGTAGTGTTCCTGGTTCTAGTGGTTGTGGTGTTCCTGGTTCTAGTGGTTGTGGTGGTTCTAGTGGTTGTGGTGGGTCTAGTGGTTGTGGTGGGTCTAGTGGTTCTAGTGATTGTGGTGTTCCTGGTTCTAGTGGTTGTGGTGTTCCTGGTTCTAGTAGTTGTAGTGGTACTAGTGGTTGTGGTGGTTCTAGTGGTTGTAGTGTTCCTGGTTCTAGTGGTTGTGGTGTTCCTGGTTCTAGGGTGGTTCTAGTGGCTGGGTAGTGTTCCTGGTCTCAGTGGTTGTAGTTCTGCTTCTAGTGGTTGGCCAGGATATTCCTGGTTCTAGTGGTTGTGGTGTTCCTGGTTCAGTGTGAGTTGTAGTAGTGGTACCAGTGTGTGGTGTTCCTGGTTCCCAAAGTGGTTGTGTGTCTGCCTAATGCACAGGATGTTCCTGGTTCTAGTGGCTGTGGTGTCCCCTGGTCTCAGTGGTTGTGGGTGTTCCTGCTCAGTAGTTGTAGTGGCACTTAGTGGTTGTAGTGGCCTCAGTGGTTCCAGTGGTTGTGGTGTCTCTGGTCTCCAGTGTTTGTGGGTGTTCCCTGGTTCTAGTGGTTGTGGTGTTCCTGTCTCAGTAGTTGTAGCGGTTCTGTGGTTGTGTGGTTCAGTGGTTCTGAAATGGCTGTGGGTGTTCCTGGTCTCAGTGGCTGTGGTGTTCCCTGGTTCTAGCGGTTGTGGTGTTCTGGTTCTTAGTGGTTGTGTGTCCTGGTTCTAGTGGTTGTGGTGTTCCTGGTTCTGTGCAGCTGGGTGGTACTAGTGGTTGTGGGTGGCCCCAGTGGTTGTGGTGTTCCCTGGTTCTAGTGGTTGTGGTGTTCCTGGTTCTAGTGGTTGTGGTGTTCCTGGTTCCCCAGTAGTTGTAGTGGTACTAGTGGTCAGGGTGGTTCTAGTGGCTGTGGTGTTCCTGGTTCCCAGTGGTTGTGGTGTTCCTGGTTCTAGTGGTTGTGGTGTTCTGGTTCTAGTAGTTGTAGTGGTTCTAGTGGTTGTGGTGGTTCTAGTGGCTGTATGTCTCTGGTTCTGTGGTTGAAAGTGTTCCTGGTTCTAGTAGTTGTAGTGGTTCTAGTGGTTGTGTGTCTCATTGGTTCTAGTGGTTGTGGTGGTTCTAGTGGTTCTAGTGGTTGTGGTGTTCCTGGTTCTAGTGGTTGTGGTGTTCCTGGTTCTGGTGGTTGTGGTAGTGTGAGTTCTCGTGGTTGTGGTGATCCGAAAGGTTGTGGTAGAGTGAATTCTTGGGTTTGTGGTGGTTGTGGTTGTTCAAGTAGTTGTGATAGTTCTAGTGGTTGTGGTGTTGGTGGTTCTAGTGGTTGTGGTGTTCCTGGTTCTAGTGGATCTAGTGGTTGTGGTGTTGCTGGTTCTAGTGGTTCTAGTGGTTGTGGTGTTGGTGGTTCTAGTGGTTGTGGTTTGTGGTGTTGTTGGTTCTAGTGGTTCTAGTAGTTGTGGTGTTGCTGGTTCTAGTGGTTCTAGTGGTTGTGGTGTTGCTGGTTCTAGTGGTTCTAGTGGTTGTGGTGTTGCTGGTTCTAGCTGGTTGTGGTGTTGTTCTGTGGTTCTAGTGGTTGTGGTGTTCCTGGTTCTAGTGGCTCTAGTGGTTTGTGGTGTTGCTGGTTCTTGGTTCTAGTGGTTGTGGTGTTCCTGGTTCTATTTGTTCTAGTGGCTGGTGTTCCTGGTTCTAGTGGTTGTGGTGTTTCTGGTTCTAGTGGTTGTGGTGTTGCTGGTTCTAGTGGTTCTAGTGGTTTGTGGTGTTAGTGGTTCTAGTGGTTGTGGTGTTGCTGGTTCTAGTGGTTCTAGTGGTTGTGGTGTTGCTGGTTCTAGTGGTTCTAGTGGTTGTGGTGTTCCTGGTTCTGAGTGGTAGTGGCAGTGGTGTTTCTGATTCTGTGTTGTGGTGGTTCTAGTGGTTGTGGTGGTTCTAATGGTTGTGAGGTTCTTTGGTAGTGGTGGTTGTGGGGTTCCTGATTCTAGTGGTTTGGGGGGTTCTGTGGTTGTGTGGTTCTAGTGGTTCTATTGGTTGTAGTGTTCCTAGTTCTAGTGGTTGTCGTGGTTCTAGTGGTAGTGGTGGTTGTGGTGTTCTGATTCTGGAAGTGGTTGTGGTGGTTCTAGTGGTTCTAGTGGTTAGTGGTTCTGTGGTTGTGGTTCTAGTGGTTGTGGTTGTGGTGGTTCTAGTGGTTGTGGTGGTTCTAGTGGTTGTGGGGGTTCTAGTGGTTCTAGTGGTTGTGGAGGTTCTAGTGGTGGTTGTGGTGTTCTTGGTTGTAGTGCTCCTGGTTCTATTGGTTGTAGTGTTCCTAGTTCTAGTGGTTGTCGTGGTTCTAGTGGTTGTGGTGTTCCTAGTTCTAGTGGTAGTGGTGGTTGTGGTGTTCTTGGTTCTAGTGGTTGTGGTGTTCCTGGTTCTAGTGGTTGTGGTGGGTTTAATGGTTCTAGTGATTGTGGTCCAGTTTCTAGTGATTGTGGTCCAGTTTCTAGTGATTGTGATCCAGTTTCTAGTGATTGTGGTCCTGTTTCTAGTGATTGTGATCCTGTTTCTAGTGATTGTAGTCCTGTTTCTAGTGATTGTGGTCCTGTTTCTAGTGATTGTGTTACCTTTTCTAGTGATTGTGGTCCTGTTTCTAGTGATTGTGGTCCTGTTTCTAGTGATTGTGGTCCTGTTTCTAGTGATTGTGGTCCAGTTTCTAGTGATTGTGGTCCTGTTTCTAGTGATTGTGTTACCTTTTCTAGTGATTGTGGTGTTCGCGGTCGTAGATGTCTGTATTTGTGTATTAATTCAGGTGAAAAGACATTGGTGGAATTCTGAGTTTCACAGACAAATATTGTACAGGTGTATCTGCCTTCCTCACATCGACACCAGTTGGTCTCGTCTTTCATGAAGTAAGTAAAATTCTGGCAGGTTTGGTTCTCTATTGTAAATCCTGGTGGAGATAGAGAGATAGTGAGAGATAGATAGAGAGATAGAGAGATATAGATTGATTGGATATGTAATTATTATCTATTCGTAGTTAAGATATCACGTGAGTTTTTTTTTGAGTGACTTACCTTGAATACACGGGCGATTCTCACAGTTAGGTACACCTGTCTCATTACAGGTACACGGTCGACCACAGGTATCGTTGTAATTAGACCCTGGAATGCATAGCCGTGGAAAATCTACAACAGGGGGGGAAA